TTGTGTGTGTGTGTGTGTGGTGGGGGCGGGAGGGGGGGGGTTGGTGGCTGTGTTTCCTTGCACCTGTGCGACAGAGCCAAAGCCAAGCTGGCACAGAGTGGTCCGTTTCGGACCGCTTCGTGTCTCGGTCCCTGTAGCACAACGGTACTTGCATGTCGGATGTGGGTCATGGTTTCGTGAATGCTGAGTATTGCTGAGTAGCTGAGTAGCTACTTAACTGCAGTCCGTCTGAGTCCGTCTGTGAATGTATGCATACAGCGACTGCAGAATGCCAGGTCGATTATGGCGGCGATGATGATGAGGAGGTCGGGGAATGCTGGCATAGTGCATGGGGATTTATATTTGCATGCATCCAACTGGGGTTGCTTGCAGACTCGCAGACATGGCGGAAACCAGTGCCCCCTCGGTTGTTGGCCCAGTGCAGGTTGGAAAAAAGAAGAAAGGTCCACCAGGTGTTCCGCCGTCGCCTCAGACAGGGCCTGGCCTGGCCTTCTTCGAAGTAACACACGACGTCTGTTGGATGAAGAGATACCTACAAGCTCGTCCTGCCCAGCAGGCTCTGTGTGTGTGCCTCCGAAAAATCATGACCTGCAGGTGCACTGACGAAGCGATGTGCTGTGCAAAGTTCATCCTTTCTCTGTGTTGCCGTTCTTTTCCGAAGCACTACTCTGTCCTGTTTCGGCATGAAATGTCATGACTTCTGGCAACAAACGAGGATTTTAGCGTGTCGACTCTACAGCAGTGTGTGCTTGAAGAGTTTGTTTCTCAAATGCTTTGCTCGATTGTTCTGTCCAAATGAGAAATTTGACTAACGCTCGGACTGACTGGGCTTTGGCAGTGTTCGATCCACTGTCCCAAGGCCGGGCAGGCATTGGGAAATGTACGACGACGATGGGGTCAGCTGGTGGTGCGCTTCGGCCAGTCTTAATGCAAGTCTGCCTGTCGAGCTCAGAGCTTAGAGCATCTGCCTTGGCTGAGCTGTTCAAGTCACGATGCTGAGACTAGGGAAATTCTGCGATGTGAAGAGCGTTTTCTGAGGCCTCACCTGCCCTGAATCGCTTGATGCTGAGGTGCGTTTGACTCATCAGAGGACACAGTAGCAATCATGATGGCTGGAGTTGAACTCCTTCCGCTGCGATGGTGGGAGGAGAGAAGGTGAGGCCCTTGAGGTCCACGGCTGAAAAGGATCGGCTGGCGGAGATATCACGCCAAAGCGGAGAGATGCCTGGACAGGGCGACAGGCTCCGACCAGGAAGCTCGAAGAGGCTGAAGTGTGCAAAGCACAACAGGCAAGGCAAGGCGTCAGGTGGCACAAAGGTACACAGGCAGAGGTGAAGATCTTCGAGCAGCGCTTGCAGGAAATACATCGGCGGCTGGCTGTCCATGGACTCCACTACTCGGTCGTTGAGGAGCGCCACGCGTGCGGATTTGCACAAGGGTCTCCGAAGCGCCGCATAGCGGCCTGGTCCTTACGGCCTTCCTCATTGAAAGACTGACCAGGGAAAGCGCACGCCCATCATTCCCCTCCTCTCGGACAACCAGGGAAACGTCTACTTCCTCCTCGACAGCAAACCGAGAAAGATGCCTTTGGCAGTCGTCTTGATGAAGCTTATGCTCTTGCTACACCGCAACTGCTGCACCCTGGCACCCTCCCACGTGAAACGGGACTTCAACCAGTGGGCTGACAAACTTACACATCCGGACTAGGACCGTCGTCTCCGCGTCAGCCGCCTACTGAGAAGCTTTCACCTTCCATCCTTAGTGCTGGAATCCGATTCCTTCTAGTTCTTGGTACTTCCTCACCTCCGGCCCGAGTGGTGCGCGGTGAGGCCGAGAGTTCCCCCACTCGCTCGTTACGATAGGCACATCAGTGCCACACCGTTTTCTACTATTGACCTCTTGGAGGGGGCCTGAGGCCGACTTGCTCGGGGGACCCTCTCGGTTTGCCACCGTCGGATGCTCTCGGGTTCCGTTCTGCTCGTGTTTGCTGGCATTAACAGACCTTCGCCGCGACCAGTTTGGACATGCGGAAGAACACTGCTGCAACTCCGCGCCTGCCGCCCTCAAGCAGAAGAGGGAGGAAACTGCAGCTGCAGGAGGACGTTGTTTGCCTTGGAACCATGGATGTTGCCATGAAGGACAAGGCCCAAGGCCCTAACGCAGCACTTTTTTGCCGTATGCCGTCGCTCGCACTCTGAAGCGGGTCTTTTCTTCTGCGTGGCAGGTACTACGAAGGCCCAAGAGGGAAGTGGTGGATGCAAGACGGTCAGACGACGCAGCAGCCCTAGGGAGGAAGACGGCGCATACTTTGCTGCTTGACGGCTCGCCTTGCAGAATCACAACCCCAGGCCACAGCCCTGGGACGAAGGAACCGAAGAATCTTGAGGACGGGCCGGAGTGCCAGGCTCGAGGGTTGAAGCAAGTCTTTTGCCGGAAATTTTTTGAAAGGTTAAGGAACCAGGGAGCTGCTTTGAGTAAGGGGCCTAGATTCGGCCACGAACGCCAAGCAACTCTTCGGCACTTGTGCAGGAAGCATTCCTGCTGAGGGATCCTTCCTGCGGACAGCTCAGCTGAGGTTTTCGCTTCAAGACATGGGCATGCTAAAAGAACAGGGTCGATCAAAGGGCCCCAGGGTCAGCCCAGCCGCTCTTGGACGTGTTTGGCGATCTTTGGGGTCTCTGTTGCTCTTTCACCGTCAGCTCTCCTTGCCAAACGTTGCCAGAGCTGCTGGCCGCCAGCCTGCGGACGTTGCTCTATTGGGAAGGGCAGAAACAACTGCAGCTGCCACCTTTCAAGGGGTAGCCAGCAGTGTGCTGCAAGCATGTCGTGGCCATCCCAGAGCCTCCGCTCACAGGACCGTGAGAGATGCTGGCACTGTGCTTGTGTGGCTGTCCCCACTGTAGCGCGCATGTCCCGAGGAGGAGTTCTGGGAGTTGCATCGGCGGCTTGGAGAGTGGCTACCTTGTATTCAATGCTCTAGGGTTTCCGAAGTCGCGTACTGCAAGATGTACTGGGATTTTCCGCTGGTCAGGTGCTATACCAGGGAGATCGCGAGATGGAGGACAGCTTCCGGGGTGCAGCAAGCTGAATAAGTTGGCGGGGGGAGGCACTCCAACTATGCTTGGTTCAACTCTTGCTCCAAGGTGCCACCAATCGACCAATGGGGCAGTGCCTCCAGAAGAATCTCGGTGGATGCTTTTTCTCATGAAGCTACTGTGCCCGCCTGGGATTCTGGTTTTGTTGCAGCTCACAGCTGAGGCAAGTCCATGTTCAGCTGCGCCAGTGTGGCGGCCAGCCGAGGCTGGCCCACTTCGCCCGAACGGAGTTGTAAAAACAATCTTGTGCTGACCTCTGCCCTGGCAAGCACCTCTGCAGTTGAACTTCGCAAGAGAAAGCGCGGGTCGTCGCTCTTTGCAGATGGACACCGCGCAGTGATGCGGGATGTGGATGTTCCTCGTTGTCATGCGTAGAGCTGGTGGTCTGTCAGGATTCTAGAAGAAGAGCTTGGATGCTAAGCCCTGCATGCAGGGAACCATGGCAAAATAGACAGCAAGATGTCGCTGTCGCTGTGCCCGGAGCTGCCAGAATCCACGTGCCTCGTCGAAGCATTAGCAAAATGCGGCTCCTGATTTGCAGTTCGGTGGTCGGCATGCTCGTCACCTCGAAACCCAGTGCTCGGTTCTGCGTCGCAGACCCCTGAGTCATTTTGAAGCAGGGACAGGGATCGACAGGAGTGCAGCCGAACGATCCGGAGATGTTTCTGAAGTCGAAGCTTCCATGCAACGCGATCCCAGCACCCGCACCCCCTAGCCCTGTGGCCCGCGGGACCCAGAAACGAGTTCATGTTGCGAAGGGCAAGGCGCAACTTCCCTTACTACGTCTCATCCGGCTGGTGTTGGATCAGGTCTGCGGAATGTCCTCCTGGCGAACCGGAGACTATAGAGACATTGGCATCTTGGCAGCCTTTCGCTGTGGCGCCAAGCGCAACGGCATTTCGCTTGTTTTTGGAACACGAAGGGGGTCGGTGGCTGCGGTCTCTCTTGCTACAGCTGGCAAGCTCTAGCTAGCTTCTCTGGCAGTGTCGATTTCGTGCCGATTCCCGAGCGAAGGATGCATCCTCGAGTATGGCCAAAGCTCCTCAAACTCAGAGCTTCGGCTCCGTTTCGCTGCCGGTGGCAAGGTGGGATGCATCAGATTCGCAGCTACAGTTCACCTCTGAACTGTTGTGCACATACACAGCACATCACAGCACTTACACAGCCATGCACATACATGGTTGTAACATTCTCAGATATACCTATGCGAAGCAACTGCACGTACACGTGCGCAGATGATTCAATGGTTATGTGCGAACACACGAGCAGCATGATGTAGTGGAAACAAAAAGCACCGTATTTCTGAGCAAGAGTGCGGGTGTCTGGGCAGAGGGCTTCCGGGCGACGAGGCAAGCTCGCCGCAAAAAGCCGCATCCTCTGGGTTGGCTATTTATTTACGGGCTGCCGCCAGT